CGGCCACTTCATCTCGAATATCCACAAACGGAAATGGGATTCGTCCCTTCGACCCAATGCGACTTACCTTATACTTTTGTTTTTTTTCCGATAAAATCTTAACTTTTCTGGAGGCGATGATTCAATTATTGTTTCTCTTTTAATATATGGTAATTTTATATTTTCTATTTGATTGACAAATATATGCTTTGTCAAACTTGCTTGGAATATTACTTGCTAAAATATTAATATTTGAATATTAAACCTCCATCTCTGTGATAAATAGTGGATTTATTTTAAGCGCTGATTAATCAAGCAAAATACCCAAAAATTAATTTAATCGGATTACTTAACTTTTTATAAACATAATTATTCTTTTAAAAATTATTCTACATGTTTGATTAATAATAAACATTAATTTTATTTTATTTTTAATAATAATCAATTATTTTGATTGTAGTTTAGTAATAATTTAGTAAAATATTTCGTTTTCTAAAGATAATTTCTAATTATCTTTAATAGTAACAAAGATAATAGATTTGTGTGTGTAATCTTTTTTAATATATTAAAAATAAAAAATAATAAAACTTGGTACGATAAAATCATGTAGCGGCCTTACACAGAATCTGCTTTATAGAAATTATATTTTATTTTCCCTAAAAATGCATATTTTCGTTAATAGCTTTACTTTCGTCAAAGCAGAAATTTTGGTCCGGGTAATTTATTTATCGCTACAATTACGAAACATTGTCGCCTGGAGGATCATCAGCGCAAAGGAGACATATTATCCGACGGCGAATGTTTGTGCGAAATTAAATCGGTCGCGTGCCCAGTGAAAAGGATATGTCTAACGAGATTGTAAAATCCGCCAGGATAATTGTATTCGCGCTCAATTTAAACTCGCGTTGATAATCGATGGTCGTTAAATCGTACAATACTCTCTCTCTCTCTCTCTCTCTCTCACTCTCACTCTCACTCTCTCATTTTCTTTCTCTCTGTCGTGTCGCTTCCGGTTTTAATTCTACTTAACGAGCGGCTCGTGCGGCCCGATGCGCGATTTAATGCTCAAACAAAATGCATTGCATCAAATTCCGTTTATGATATAATTGAAACCGCGGTTCCGGCCGCATACAATTGCATATATTGTCGTAACACGCGGAACCGCCTGTTTGCGCATTCGCCAATTTTCCATATCAATCCTCGCCAAAAAAGCGCGCGGAAAAATTTTCAGATTGGCCGCTGATTTAATCGAGTCAGTAGCTCGGACTTAATGAGAAGCTAATTGGTTAAAGCATGAAACGACACTTGCATCGGCACTGTACGACAGGAATTTTTAATAAAGATTGTAATGACCTCTGGACTAATTAACGGTGCAATAGAAAGAAATTTGTAACATAATTTACATTTTTATTTTTATGTGACTAACGTTTATAGCGGCTACATACAACGATATTTAAAATTTATTTTTCTCTATTGTCACAATTTAGTTCAAAGTCTCCATCTATTTGTCCCAGATTTTATCGTTAAATAGGATATTGTAATTTTATTAAAAACTATAAAAGCGTTTTTAATAAATTTATTTATAGCTAATTCAGCAAAATGTCTTTATACGTATATTTGTTAATATTATTTGCACATGCAAGGCCTGCCTCTCTAGATACGCAAAAACAATTTTTCAGATACGTCCATCATTACAGCATTGTTTAATTAGTCGTTAAACTAAATGACATTAAGAATATTATAATATCTAATGAAATAATACTGCATAATGAATCTTATATGTTAATTATTAAAGAAAGATATCCTGTTCCGAGAACAGATATATAGAGATATAAAACATTTTTCATAACAAAAAAGTACGTAATGTTTGAGTAATTAATTAATTACTTCGATTATTTATTAATTTTTTTATATCTTTATCGACGTAGAGAGACAACCTGTTTTTATTTTTATAAAATGTTTTAATCTTATCCGTTAACACGCGAGAGACTTAGCGACCTCAATCAGGAATTAAAATATCTAAATTTTCGAGGAAATGGAATATTAGATGCCAAAGAGGTGGAGCCAAAGCGAACGTTGTCATCAATGCAAAAGTCGCGGAAGTTTCGCGCAATACGATTTGAGAACCATCGCTTTAAAGCCCCACTTATCGAGCGCCTAGTTGGTATGATAATGTAATAAAATAAATGGAGGTTGCTGCTTCCTCTCCCGAGCGATATAGTCTTCCACTCTCTTTCCGCCTCTTTCTCTCTCTCTCTCACTCTCTTCTCCCCTCTCTCTCCTCGTACTCCTCCTCATTTCTCTGGGACTCTGCAATCCGCTGCAACCCCCTCTCCCCTCACCATTATTGCTCGCTCACACCTCCCCTGCCACCACCATCCCTATTTGGCCCCGCAAAATTGGGGGGAGCAGGGGGACAGGGATGGAATCGAGAAGGTAGAAGGGAATGGAGAGAGCTCACCTCGAAAGCGAAATACAACAAGTCCCGCCGCCATTGCTGGATCACCCTTCAGCGGGAGTTTTGTCGTCGCGTGGGTGGGGGGTTGACAGCCCCGCGCGGCGCGACGAGAGTCAGTCTCACCCTTCCCGACCGACCCCGGTCGAGCCCTGCACGACCCTGGTTTTCCCTGCTTCTTGGGGGAGGGGGGGCCAGCGGAATGGAAGCAAGGGGGTGCACGGAGAACGCTGGGGTAGATAGGTTGAAAACTCCGCCCCCGCACATCCGTGAAAGCGAGTCAATACTATCACTGCCTTCCGCGCCCCCCGCATTCCGCCATGCCTATGCTCGCCCTTTCTCTCGCCGGAGGATGGATATCGAAATTCGTTACCGGCTCTGCGCGACCCCCGCGGGACTTACGATTGCGAGGGCAGAAGGAAGGGTTGATCGCGCAAAAGGGGCTCGATATAGGTGTCTTGCAGGAAGTGTCGATTTGTCGTCCCACTTTAACGATTGAACGTTGAGCGAGAAATGCTCTTTTAATCCTCCGTTACATGGTCGATATATTCTCTATGCCGTATTGCCGCGAGTCTAATCATGATAGGATTAATCTACTGAGAAATCTTCGCAAGCCTCACTCCTTTTTCAACATCGATTTCAGGAAGGTGGATTTGTAAACAATAATTTTAATGTTTTTTCTGTCTGTTTATCATCCTTGGTATCTAAATTTAGGGATAAGAACTTCCGAAGTTATGACAATTCAACAGAGAAAAATTATTGAAAGTAAAAAAAATTTCCTACATAATATTTAATAAGTTGAAGTTCCTTTCGAAGCGTGGAATATATATTCATAGAAGTAATATTTACCTTTATAGATTTTTTAAATATTTCAAAACTATGGTAATAAATAATGATAATAGCATTGTCATTAAATATGAGATACCTAATTTTTAAATAAAAGTGGAAATGCGCTCTCTCTCTCTCTCTCTCTCTCTCTCGATAATTATTAATAAATCGCATTTCCAAATTATACGAACAAATATAAGATTGAAAAGAGATAATATATATATATAATTAAAAATATACTTAGCGTGATGCAAGTTCGCCCGACGCTTCTTCTTTCAAAAAAGTTCCGAAGAATGAAGTCTACTCGTTTCCCTCAATTATTCTCCGCGGTTCGCCGCCTGACTCCGCGTGTTTCGCTAGATCCGCTCGAAAAGGCATTAAGGACGCTCACCCCCGGCGCCGGGGCGTTTAACTCCCCGATTGCTTTGACAACTTAAGCAGGCCCTTAAACCTCGCTCGAGCCCCGATGTAATTTATAAGCGGCCGAGGGGGTAAACTCCGCCGGGGACCGTCAAACTGCCATGTGGCAAAACCCTCGTCGGCAGGGGAAGTCAGGGATTATGCGGTGATAAATAAATATGTACGGTTATGCAACAACCGCCGTGACGGAGTTGCGGGGGTGCAAATATATACGTCGTTGTGCGTTGTAGCGACCGAAGTCAAATCGTGTTCCGAGGGGATCGCGGGCCGAATCTTTATCTTTCCTCCGAGTCAAATACGCCGGTGATCTTTGAGCTTTGCCCTCTCCCCCCATTTGAGGAGTATAATCATTTATACTCTCGTATCTAAAACTTGTTTTCGCAATTAATTATTAATTAAATTTATAATAATATATTATGTTAGTATTATATGTTACCCTTTTTTTCCACAATGTTATTTCAAAATATATTTTTATCTTCTACTGTAATTCATTTTCTACTTTGTTCTAGATTTTTATATTAGCATCACATTACTTTTAATATTATTATTTTCTCTTATTTTCTATGCCTGCGCACAAATTGAGTTGTATTAAATATATTTATTTAAAATTGTGTTATATAAGTATGTGTTATAATGCTTACCTGATATTGCGTTTAATTAACAGAGGAGCTAGTATCTAGAATTACAAATATGTAGTAACAATAAATAAGATAGCAGTAATAAATCTGCGAAAGAGTGAGTCAATGACAATAACTCAGTTAATCAGATTTATTTTTATTACAAGTAATCATTACAATATATATCACTGATTGAGAATACATTTTACAGCGAATAGTATCACAACACGAAATATACAGAGAAAGTGCGGACGAGCGTTCATTTACAGCGCCGAGAAAGAAATCAATCTCACTCACACCTTTATGAACCAAATTACTTTCATTAATCGATATTATGCAACATTAAATTTTATGAATTCGTATTGCCACCTCCGTTATTTCCAAATGCAATTTAATTTTGATTTCGCAACGTGTATCGTCACGGTTTATTAATCGTACCTCTGACGCATAAAGTCCGTGGGTAAAAAAAAGAAGTATTTTAATTGCGTTAATTTTTTTAAGCAATTTCAACGCGAATTTGCGAATATGTAAAATAATTGATTTTCGTATTACGTTCACAAAGCTGTAGAGTGTTTATTGCCCACCCCGTCACTTTTCTCTCTAATTCGGTAACTTTGGCTACGGTCAACGTGACGCTACAAATGCTTTGGAGCGTTCTTCTTCTCTTTCTTTCTTCATTGAAAGAAAAGAGAAGAGGAATGCTTCGAAGCATTTGTAGCGTTACGTTGACCGTAGCCTTTATGACAAATTTAAATTAAAAAAAAAAAAGAAGGAAGATAGGAAAAAAGCGAAATGTCTTTTCGGATTAATTCATTGACTTTCTACGAAAAACGGAAAATGTGCTATCAACGTGCCGAGCCTAACGCCCGATAAATATGTCTATAATAAATAAATACATGTATATATCTATGTGTGTATATTTACGCCGCAATTGAGTGCCCCTCGGTCGACTTTAGTTGCCGTTTTTATTCGTTAGCGATGCCATTCTTTCAGTGCCTCGCGTTTGTACGATAGAGATACTCGCCAATTGGAATCCTCACAATCATTACAGAGGGACTTAAGACTTTGTCCTTAGGCCTGATCGTGAAACAAAGTTCGCGCGCCCTGCTCCTTGATCCTTTCATTTAGAAAAGCCTCGCCCGCCAGTCTTTGCTGTTTTCCTTTGATAATTAATTTCGCCTCTCATGAATCTCGTTCTCGTTCTAGCGCCGAATACTTTGGATCGTGTGGTATTTGCATTTTATTGTGTGGCGTTCGTGTAGCGAAGTCCTTTGGTGTCTAAGATGATTTTAGTTTTTGTACATGTCACAAAGGACCTTCTCCATCGGCGTGTTCCCAATAGTCCTGTGGAAGTAGATCAATTCCACTCTTGCAGCTGGAACTGTTCGCAGCAACGGCAGCAGCAACAGCAACCTGCCGAAGCGGGCTGGACTATTCGGTTGTTGAGCACGCGCATGATGTCCGAGCATTAATTGTGCCTGATCCTGCAAGTTCTCAATTTGGCTCGAGTCCTTCAAACCGCGGGTTTCTGCAACGGGAAAATCAGCTTTCTAGGAGTGCATGTCGCAAGTTTACACGAAATTGAATAACTAACTTAAAAAAATACTCTCCAAAAGTCGAAGAGTAAAATATCAATGAAAACGAGTAAAATGCAAGTGTAATGAAAAATGAAAATTGAGCCTGTGCACTTCGAGTGATTCGCTACTAAAAAACGACGAGCGGAAGGAGATACAGTTCACAATTAAATAGCGAGAGAAATAAATAGAATAGTAAATTACAAATTAATTATAAAGTAGTTTACAAAAAAAAATCGAAGACGAGAGCGTCGCCAACCTGGGCGAAAGAGAACGATGGCCTTCATGCAGGCGAATTCCGCAGGATCGACCATGACCGCCTTGTATCTCTGCAGGGTGTCGTGCAGGTGTCTGACGTCCGCCGCCACTTGGCTGGGCTTTCCCGTGGTGGTTTGCAGATGCAGCCCCGAGTGCGGATGCGGATGAGGCGAGAGGGTCAGAGCAGTTAGCTCGGCGGCGCTAAAGAGAGGCGAAGATTCGAGCGGCAGACACCATTGAACCGCATTTAATAGGAACAGCTCTGACCAAACTTCTTCCAGGAGTATTACCTGCGCGATATAAATAACGCACTTGCAGTTTATTTTACTGTATCGCTTTTTAGAGCACCATTTTAATCGTATTGAATCTTCCTATAACGAATCCGCGGATAATTATATTGTAAGATTTGAAATAATAATTAAGCCACTATATACTGGCAGTCTATTTTTCATTTGTCGTATTGACATACAAATACGTATAGGTATTTATTGGTCTGATTAATTCTCGACAACTTCTATCGTCGCGATTACTGTTTATCAACGTTTATCAAAATAAATTATGAAATAAAAACGTGGTTAAATATACATAAGGCAAATATGTTAAATTGATAATAAATACATACATGTTGAGATACAAGTGAATCGGTACAATCGTTACCTGATCTCTAAATGGCAAGCCAGCGAAGGAGGGAAGATTCTTCGCCCATTTGACCGCCATGAAGAGCAGCCTCGCGCTGGTCTCGTAAACCGTTTCAGCACTCGCTGGTGAGTATAACGACGGCAGCACTGGTGGAAGCTGTGTGCATCCACTCCGCTGAGGCGTCAACGGCTCCTCGTTGGTTACGTCTATGCTGTCCTCGGATGCGTTTCCTGTGTTCAGACGCAAAGCTCTCTTTCTTCATGCAAATATAGAGTTTCCATAACAGCGGTGACAATAACGAATGACCAAGATCTGGGAATGATATCCACTCACGCGAATTTATATGAGAGGTAGGATCAGAAGCAGAGCGATAGAGACTCGTATTAAAAGGTTTCATGCATCTTTGATAAGATAAAACAAATATTTATTATATATTTTTTTTATTAGACTTCCTTTTGCTTAGTTTACAAGTGTTATTTTCTTTTTTGTTATTATCTTAAGAGGGTATTCTAGTCCAGAGGGTCAAAAAATCGATTTTCTTTATTTTTACTTTTTAACCCGTTGTGGTCACACCTCCTAAAAATAACGTAGTGGTCACACGGGGTCCAATGGGCCCCACAACAGTTTCCATTTGCGTTCTTTTTGATGTATCGACTCAAACCTTGAACTGGAATTAATTTATGACTTCCTCTTGATAATCCAATAATTTAAAAAAATTTTTTATGTTGAAAAAACGCGAAAAAAAAAATTTTTTTTCGAGAAATTTGACTTTTTTTACAAAAATATTCATCAAAATTTTTTGAGATAGAGTAAAAAAACTTTGTGCGTTTTACTTTCAAAATAGTATACTTTTGGAAAAAAAAAAAAAAAAAAAAAGCCTGGGGTCCACTGGACCCCATGTGACCACAACGGGTTAATTATAAAGCAGTTTATAATAAAATTCTAAAAATTAATGAAGTTATGAAGATTTGAAGAGATCAGTAGGTATCTCAAGTTGCATATAAGTCAGATTGATAACGTTCCACGCTGCTACAATAAATCAGTCTTTCATCATAAAGAAATCTTGATAATTTTATCTTTGTTATATTATTTGGGATCTTGGTTTATTTTTCTCGTCGATATGAATTTAAATTCATTAATTTGAACTTTTGCTCCAAAACATCTGCATTGTGGGAAAAAAAACAATATAAATTAAAATGTAGCAATGTATTAAATATTTATTGTATTAAATATTTGTATTAAATATTTATACATTTAATAAAGAATGCAGGCTAATATTAAAGATAATGGAAGTGATAAGAATAACCATTACAAATAAAACAAAAGTTTTATTCACTTATTCACTAGTCACTTAAGGGGATGCTGGAGACAGGTCTGTTTTACCACGAAATTTTCAGACACACAAATCTTTTGATTGATTTCACCGAATTAAAAATTTTTTGTCCAGAATTAAAGTATGAACGATAACGAAGACGGCAGGCACCAATTGCGTATAAAAAACGAAAAAAAATTAGAAAATTACATTTTTATTTTCGATTCTGCGGTCGACTCATGACAACATTTGCTGCAGATAAAAGTTTTAGACTGTGTACGTATACAAAAACCTTGCAGCCGTCACGGAAATACAATAAAGAAGAATCCTGTGCTTGCAGAAATGAGCTGCGAGCTTTAGTATAAGAGAAAAGTATGTTAGAAAATTTCATATGCACATGTTACGCGTCTCCCCGAATTCAGCCAAAAACTCTGCGCTCTGTATGTATGTGTAAGAATCGGTGAGCACTTCTTTATCGACGCTGGTCGAGTTTGCCTGCGCTCTGTATGTATATGTAAGAATCGGTGAGCACTTCTTTATCGACGCTGATCGAGTTCGCCCGCGACTCCAGCAGAGGTTACCCCTTTTAATTTTAATTTGGTGTTACCCCTTAAGGGGTAACACCACTGTAGCGTCCGGAGAAAACAGCCTAATTTTGACATTTTTTTAAGGGAATATAGTGAATGGAATACAAAATCGGTTTAAAGGCCTTTATTGTACATACTTTAAAGTGTGTTCACAATTTTTTTTAATTTTTTTTTTTACAAAATGGCGGCGCCAGAGCTCAGCAAAGGAAGTTTCTTCGTATTTTGCGGCCGGAAAGATTTCTCCTCCAATTTTTGACCTGGAACAAAAAACCAAAAATTTTTTAGTTTTATATAAGATTAGCTCAGGAAAGACGTACGGAAATTAAAAAATATCATTTTTTGTAAAAATGGTACACGTTTGAACAAAACGTTTCATTTTTAAACAATGAAACGTTTTGTTCAAACGTGCACCATTTTTACAAAAAATGATATTTTTTAATTTCCGTACGTCTTTCCCGAGCTAATCTTACATAAAAATAAAAAATTTGTGGTTTTTTGTTCCAGGTCAAAAATTGGAGGAGAAATCTTTCCGGCCGCAAAATACGAAAAGGCTTCCTTTGCTGAGCTCTGGCGCCGCCATTTTGTAAAAAAAAAAATTAAAAAAAATTGTGAACACACTTTAAAGTATGTACAATAAAGACCTTTAAACCGATTTTGTATTCCATTCACTATATTCCCTTAAAAAAATGTCAAAATTAGGCTGTTTTCTCCGGACGCTACAGTGGTGTTACCCCTTAAGAAAGCTAGGATCACTCATAGGAAACAGAAGGCGGTTCGCGATTTCTTTTAAAGAAGAGAAAAGTTGATGGGACTGATATATCAGACTAGACAGAATAAACACTACAAATAAACTACTTTCTGTGAAATATATAAAATTGCAAGAAAAAAGTGTTTTTTTTTTTCACAACTATGTTTTTCAAGCTTGTCCAACGTTTTTCTAAAAAATTATTAGTCCCGTCGACTTTCGCTTTTGCACAAATTTTCAAAAAATTTTTTAAAGAAAATGGCGGCTAGTTAAATATCACTTTAAATCTATTTCTTTAAATCTATAAACTGAAAAAGGTCAAAATTCCATTAAGTGATATTTAACTAACCGCCATTTTCTTTAAAAAATTTTTTGTAGTCTCTACCACGATGATTTATTAAATAAAACAAAATTCGTTTTTTTATTTCAGAGGTTTCGTCAGAAGCACTAGGACATATCTTAAAAGAAGGACAGAGTAAGAGATACTTGATAAAATTAATTTGTTTAAATATAAAAATAAACAATAATTCAATTTTTCGTATCATAAAATAACAATAAAACTTATGTAAAGGGACAATTATTTGAGTTTTTTTATTTTTTTAGCAAAAAATTCCTAAAATAAGCCTAAAATTAGGCTGCCTATACCAGAATACCCCCTTAAAAACATGTTAATGACTTTTTTATAAACATAATTTAATGATATTAAACGCAGAATTTGCGTACCGTCCTCGTTGTCTTGTCGAGGTGGTGTTGCCGCGTTGTTTGTGGAATTTGTCGTCGGTGCGACTGTAGGCAGAGGTAGTGGCGTGGTATATCTCGCCATAGCTAAGGACACCGGCGGTCTGAGAAATAATTCACGATAAAACGATTAAAATATCTAAATAATAAAGATTAATTATATAATTAACAATTTCTATTGATATGTTCTGTTAAATCTGTTAGAACTTTATTTCAGTACTGTATAAAAATCTAAAAGAGCTAGCGCGCAAAAATGCATTATGCGTATTTCAAAAATATTTTATTTTTAAATAACATCGTCCCTCTTATGTCAAAATCATGAATGTGGTTTTTATAACTAAAGGAGGAGGGAGCAATAAAAAATTATTTTACATTTTAATTTAAGTCTGAGGTAAACATTGATATATACAAGAAAATTTCAACAATTTTGATCTCTAGAATTATTTAAAATTATAAATTTCCAAAATTTATCGAATCGTATATTCGCATGGTATTGATATAAAGGAACTGATATTGTAATCTTCCTTGAATAATATAAAAAAGACGGAAGAAACTTTGTTCCTCTTGAATTGCCTGCTTTGACAGATTGCTACAATTTCGAGTTCGTTACATTACAATTTTTCAAATGTAAACTATCTTTTAAATCAAAGTACAACGATCGCAAGCGACGATATCTTCAGTCTGCTTGTGCGCGTGTTTCGTTTTGTAGGTTCGTCTTGTTCTGCGCAGGGATATTTTACATCAATTTCAGGTAGGTAGGCCGGCGAACAGCGATCGCGATCACCGGGAAAACGATCGAGGGGAAGACATCGTCGATGCCTTCGTAAAATAAACTTCTTTCGATGAATCCGATTCTCGCCGATGCTCGGCAATCGTTTCCATGCAAATCTGACGGTGCAGATGACGTTTTGCGGTGAAATCGCGGTTGATCTTCGAGCGAAGCAGCAACGACAAAGGTAAACTTTTGTCCCACGAGTATTGCGTTTCAAATCGTATCTTGGCGTATCTAGCCAAGCCTCTAGAAATGAGAGCTCGTCGTTCCGCGAGCGACGAAGAAGCGAGTATGATGACATGTCAAATTGCAGCAAGAACGGACGGAGCCGTTCGTAATTCTAGAGACAAAATTACCGGCACCATTACGACGCTCGAGGGTAAAGTTCCGTCGCGACATCGACGGAAGATCGATGCGGCCGCGCCGGCAGCTTCGCTGCGGAAGATGGCGATCCCGGCCGGTAGAAACTTTGCCAGCTGCTACATGGAGCTGTGTAAGCAGCAACGATTGCGACCGTTACCGGTGATATGCGTGACCCTGCCGCACAGTCTGGACTTCACCACCGATCGCATCAAGATGGACGACTGGGGACCGATCTTGAATTCTCTTTCCCTCGATCGCTCGCTCAAATCGATCAGCGTGCATAGCAGGTTGAAAATTGATTGATTTCAATACTTTTTGTATACTGTCTTCCTTTTATTTATAATGTTAGTCACTTGGTCTTTACGCGCTGTTTTTTAAGGTGTTATTTGACAGTGTTATTTTTATGTTTTCCTGTATATTTGTTAAATTACGCTAATTAAATTTTTCTAAATTGTTTCTCTTATTTTAGTCCTGCAAACTTTTATTGAAAAATTTATAAAATCGCAAATAAATTATTTTAAAAATATACCAACAAACTATAGTTACTGTTCTTAAACTTGTCACATACATTAAAATTTCTTTAAAATCTCTATCAGGTATCAATGTCGTAAGCCGTTGGAAGAGATAAATTCCGAGGACAAGGCGCGAGCGATGGGTAAGGCCCCGGTGGTCCTCACGCGCTACCTGCTGGAGTGGATGTCGCAGAGCGTCGGCCAATGCGTGAGAAATTCGCCCAGCCTCACACACCTCGAGCTCGAGGGCATCCCCTTTCCACCGGATTGCATCGCAGTGCTCTGCGTCGGCTTGTCGGGCACGCAGACCTTACACCATCTGTCTCTTCGACGTTGTTACATCGGCGACAACGGCTGCGAGCTGATCTGCCGTATGATAGCGGACATTCGTAGCGTGAGATCGCTGAATCTCAGTTACTGCAACCTCACGCCGAGCAGCGGCAGCGCGTTGGCGTCCGCGCTTTCGAGGCAAAAACTGGCGTTGTATCACGATACCTGGAAGCAATCGCTGAGGTATCGCGAGCCCAACTTCGAGACGATGCCGGGGCTACGTCGACTAACCTTGAACGACAATCCGCATCTGGGTAACTGCGCCGTGCGGGAGATGCTCGAGGCGATATGCGACAATCTGTGGATGAAGGCGTTGGATCTTCAGCACTGCGGCTTGACAGATCAGATCGGCGCGGATCTGCTAAACCTACTGGATCAGAACAGCACGCTGGCGGTGCTCGACGTGAGGAGGAACGCGAATCTGAACGACGAGCTCGCGATGGAGGTAATGAGAAGGCTAGTGGAGAACGACGTCGAGGGAAAGTCGGAGTACAAGTGGATGGGATTAGCGCCGAAGGACAAAAGGATCGCGCCAGCCGACACTCGAAGAGGCAACGAGTACGAGGACACCGCGAAGCCCTCGAAAGTGCGAAGTGCCTTTACCAAGTACGCGAAGCGACCGTGTCAGGTGATTCCACCGAGGAGAACAGTCCCGTTAACGCTTCTGCCAACGAAGATAAAGATCCGACCGCCTTCGCCGCCAGTTCGCGACACCGCTATGCAGCAACGCGATTTAATCCATTCGCAGACGATTGACAACGTACGAACGATACCCAAGGTCTCCCTTCACTTGGATCTTCAATCTTGCATACAGCCCGCGACTCGCGTCGATTGTGACGTAGACGCGCAATCGGAACATAAGAACGTCGTACGATGCTCCGACGTGACAAGCCTGAAGAGCTTGGATTCGACCAAGATGGACGTCGGCACACAAAGCGTAAACCTGCAGGACGATTCAGAAGAGATCCAACGTATCCTCGGGCAACTGGCGGAAGCCCAAGCGGAACACGATCGTCTTCTGGAGGAGACCAAACGAACCGATCTTCTGCTCGTCGAAGAACGAGAGCGCCGCGAAGCCGCCGAGATGAACCTACGATCGGCGCAAAATGACGTGGCTAAGCTGGAATGCGCTCTGAAGATAAAGGAGAACGAGACCAGAGGTTACTTGCAGGTCAGCAAGCAGTCCTTGGACGAGATATGCTTGTCCTTCGATCGGCTTCTGGAGCTGCTGGAGAACGTCACCGGCAAATACCCGTCCGACAAGACGCTGGGCTCGCAGCAGATCGCGAGCGCGGATATCAGGCGACGCTTGACGTCCGTCATCAGACAGACCAAGTCGGAGAATCTGAAGCGGGGCTACAAAATGGACATCGACAACGTGCTGCCACAGTACATTGTGGACAGCGCGCGAAAATTCGTCAAGTCCGAGAGTGACGTGAGATCGAATATGCCGATTCCGGTGACGTATCTCGAGAGAAAGATCGGCGAATGTCCGGAGAACAGGGAGCCGCGCTATTGGTATCGCGACGCCAATAACAAGCCGATGACGTCCGTCGATCGAGCCCGAGCGATCTTCGCGAGCATCGTTAGCGGCGAGGCTGTGCTCGACTTCTGCTAGTCGATCGATCGGCTGGGCTCAGCAATCGTATGCAAAGACAGTCGTATAGTGGGACACCTTTCTTCAGAGGTTTCACCCGTGGGATGTATATATACATATTTTGTACACGTATATTATATACATGTATACACTACGTGCAGGGAATGCACGCACGCACCCGCCGCGTTTAGACTTTCCATCACTAAAGAGATACTTCGATTCTCCATAGCGCGACTTCTTCGTTGTGGGCATTAATTTCGATTCGAACATAAACTTCTAAGTGATGCCGTAAAAGCACGTAAAAAACTCTTAGACATTTATTAATAGATGTCTTTTGTACTTTGGTGTGTTATTTTGTGAGAAGTAAACAATTTTTATTTCTATAATTCCAATATATACATATGTATAAAACTGCGTCCGGACATTTCTCGCGAAATTGGTAACAGAGCTGAGAAAAATTAAGATTACGACTCGCTTCATATTTTAACTTGTTCATCATCATCTTAATCCGTGATTACACGACGATGATTCGAGCATCATATAAAGATGCATTTGCAAAATGCATTTATTTCTATTGTATCGCATTCAATCGCCAAATATTTTTTTGGAGTAAAATAAAAGTGACGGATGACGTGACGTGGGAAATTGAGCAGTCAATTAGTGATCGAGTTAAAAATATGAATTAGCGTTTCTGAATAAACTTTGACGAAGTTTGTAATCCACGGTCCGAAAACAATGCGGCTAATCGGGAAGATCGATTGCTCGCGCGACGAAAAACGTGTGTAACATTCGAATCCATTTATAGCCATATTTTTTCTTAGCGCGTTATACTGTACATGGAATAAATATTGTCTATTATTTTCGTAAAAACTTTGTTCAAACATTTCTTGCCGCGCGAGGAAGTTAAAATAATTCTTCCAGATTGCAATTCGCACAACGTTTTCCTTTCATCGTTCTCGGTTTTCTCGGTGAGGCAGATTATATGGGCCTGTTTATAACTGTAAACTATAATCTTGAGTCAACCTTAATTTATGTGTAATTATAGATTCCGATGTCATTGACGATTATACGGGTGTCTGCGCCGGTGCGGGTTTCAAAGCCTCATGTTTACGCGATCGAATGGTTGATTTTAACCCTTCGTCCCACTAGGTGGGTCGTTTTCGTCCGGGCGAAAATCAAATGTAGTTGTAACTTTTGCAAACGCGTAGAAATGGCGCCACTGCGCATCCGTAAAAAAAGTCATGCTCCCCGAGAACCCGCCTACCGAGTTTCAAGGCGCCAGACCCCCTCCAGCCGTCACAGGAGACACGTAATTCTTGAAAAAACGAGGTTGGCGGCGAACACTTAAGCACTTTATTTCAAAATAATTGCATGCAATATTTTTTTTATGAAAGGTACGTTTTTCCCCTTCAATTTCTTTTTTTATTCATTTCGATATCTTTATTTGTCTTAAAGTTATGATTTTTTGAGTAAAAGATGATTTTACAAGTTGTAGTTGTAGTTGCTCCATTTCTTAAATAAAAAATATGTGAAAAAATTAAATTGCTTATAATTTTATGATTGATACTTCAAATTGAAGGTTTGAATTACCTTCATGAATTTTTTCAGATTTTTTGTAACATTTTAACACTTAAAAAAAACGTCAAGACGAAAACGACTCACCTATGCGGCGTAAAGGTACCAAAAAAACCTAGTGGGACGAAGGGTTAATAGAAACGATCTCTCTCTCTCTCTCTCTCTCTCTCTCTCTCTCTCTCTCTCTCTCT